ACAAGTGTCAGAGTAGAACTCGTGCCGTTGACTTTTCAGTGGCGGATGTTTCAGAAGTAGATCACCAGGCGTTTCTTCCAAAGCGCCTCTGGGTAAACTTAAACCTCCGACCTTTTGGGTAGCAGCCCAGTGTGTTAACAACTTGCACCACGAGGGTCCTCAAGTCCCCTTTCCAATCAAAAAAAGCTGCTGTGTATGGCTAGACATACTGAGGGTCTGATGTGCTTCCGTTTCAGCTCCAAACCAGCTTCTGAAAAGGGCTGTTCCTCCTCTTGATGTCAGAGCCCTAGCCCTCTAGGTGCGGTGCGGACCCCCGAATACGGCAGGGATCTCAAACAAATTGACAGTGACCACAGTCAAATAGACCTTTCCCATTGTGACCCAGGGCGCGTGTGCATTGTATATGCATGGGAAACGCTTTCACAGGCCTTCTATCCGAGATACTTCGTTCTTTCCTGTTTCGCTGCTGGTCCTGACCCACTAAATTGATTCCATAACCCATGTGTGGGTCAGAATCCACTGTTTGCAAAAATAAAGCTCTCAGGAGCATCCCGTAGCCTACATGGTTGGATAAATTCTCCACTCTGGCAGAAATAGCTTCTTAGCCAGTCAGCCAAACACACTGCCAGAGAGTTCACTCCGACTCACAGCCATTCAGTGTGGAGTTTCTGAGATTGTGAATCTTTACGGGAGCAGACAGCCTCCCCTGAGAATGGCTGGTGGGTTTGAACTGCCAACCTTGCGGTTAGAAGCTCAGTGCCTAATCCACAGTACCACCAGGGTGGTTTCAGATCTGTAGGAAACACTCAAACCCTTTGACTTTGACCTCCTTCGTAGGTGTCAATCAGTCCTCCGTTCCCACCTCCAAACGATGGGCTGGCTTTTTCAGGCAGAGAAGTGTCTCTGTGCCCCCACTTCCCACCTGGTACTGGTACTGCAGAGGCTCTTGGAGAGCCAGGACCTCAGCAGAGATTTGAGGCAGGGGAAGGCAGGAGGGGGCTGGTTAAAATACCCTGAGTTCATGCCTTGTCAAGATGCAGCTCAGCTGAGCGGGTGGGGGGGCGGGGAGTGTCTCTAATTACTTCTTTCCCCTGGGAAGTAGCACGCCTTAGAAACTTCCTGCACTGCTCAGACCTCCTGTACCTTTCCGGAATCTGCTTGTAGTCTTGGCCTAGGCAGACAGCTTTGTCCCTGGGGGTGTCTTCCCGGTGCCTCCTCACCACATGGAACAGCAGAGGTGGCATGTCTGGTGTCCGGATAGTCGGTCCTTCCTCACTGAGGGCTGCAGAGCTCCCAACCTTCTGGAGCTTGGCACCATGGAGTCAGGGGAAGGGGTCACTCTTAGACCTCAAGCCTGTGCCCATGTCATCCCAGCGTGGGGCTGGCAGGCAGCGTATCCTTGGAACCTTGTACTCGGCACCAGGATGAGCCTTTTGGGGGTAAAGCTGCTCCCAGTTGGCAGTTGAAGCCATACCTTTGATAGTATCAGTGACCCCTAGAAAAGACTGGAATGGTTGTGTGGTGGATTTGGGTCCCTTTGGGTCATTCAAGACCAGCAGGTCTGGGAAGACGTCTTGAGATGACTGTCTAAAAAGTTATGTGCTTGGGCACGTGGGGAGCCACAGGAAGCCAGTTCAGGGCTCTTAGGCCCAGACTCCCTAAACTCAGATAGGGAAGGACCTGCGGTCATCCCCAACCCTTCTTCCTTTGCCATGGTATGTTTGAAACTTGGAGCACCTCTTTAGCTCTACAGAGGGTGGTCCTTTCTCCCACCCTCTGCACCCCCAACACTTCGGGCCAGGTCAGTCCATGTTGTGGGGACGGCCCTGTACATCATAGGATGGTTAACAGCATCCCTACTTATCAGTTGTGTTAACCAAAAGCATCTCAAGACATTGCCAACTGCACCCCGGGGGGAGAAATTGCCTCCAGTTGGAACCATTGTGCTCACTGGTCTCCCTGGGGGCATATGTCTTGCTCAGAATAGGATCTTAAGCCCTGGTCATGGGGCTCTCAGGTCCTGAGAGCAAGTCTGCCAAAGCCCCTGAGGCCTTCTCACTGACCGGGGACTCTCCAAGGCTGGCTGCTTGTGTTGTTACCCACCCCATTGTTCACTCAGGCCTCTGGTCAGTCACCTGCCTATTCACCTTGGCTCCCCCTATTTCAACTCCCTTTCCCCTATAACCCCTCCCCTATTACCTAGTGTTCTCCTGGTTCTTGTGATCTGCATGTCTGTCTGTCTGTCTGTCTCCCCCAGTGCACTTGACTGAGAGTGGGGACCGAGACTGGTCAGGAGGCAGGTCTGTGATGTGACCCCCCTTCCCTGACGGAGGCTGTGGGAGCCCAAGCCCTGTTACAGAGCATCAACATGTAAGGCATGCTTGGTTCATCAGACACATAAGCACAGCTGAAGTCCCTCCACACAGTTAACATGTGGGTGCGTTCTCGTCCCTTTTTCTGTTCTAAAATCTCTGGCAGCTATGGGTCTCACCCCAGGGGATTCCGAATTTAGGGCTCCTGGTGACTTGAGATCTGTCCACTCCCCACCTTACACCTCACTCCAAGAACCATGTTTATAAAACATTGAGGGTGCAGGAGTGGCGACCTCCCAAAGGTGCAGGTGTGGGTTTTCTTCAGGGCTTCTTCTACATTGGGATCTGGTGTTTTCTGGGAGCAGGCACAGTGCCCTCTAGTGTTGACAGACTGCCTGGGCAATCTGGAACTGGCCAGTGGATTTCAACTCATAGTGGCCCCATAGGACAGTAGAGCTGCCCCTGTAGGGTGTCCTAAGCTGTCATTTTACAGAGCAGATGTGACTCACATCTTTCTTCCATGGAGTGGCTGGTGGGTTCCAGCCGCCATTTTGTTTTTGTTTTTTGTTTTGGTTAGCCAGTAGGGCGCTCATGCGATTTAAGTACTTGATCCTTCTCCAGGGTAGTAGGCAGTGGGACAAGCTGCTGGTCCCAGCAGCCCCTCACTGTCGGGCCCCACCCTGCCTGTGAAATGGGGCTCTTTCAAAACTATTGAAGATTTCATGAGTTGGAGCATACTTAAAAAAAAAACAAACTACTGTCATCAAGTCAGTTCTGATCCATAGTGATCCACCTGGTATAGGGTTTCCGAGGCTGTAAATCTTTATGGGAGCAGGTAGCCTCCTCAGGCTCCCCCTGAGCAACTGTTGGTCGGTCCAGTGGGTATGCATCCCAGGGCTCCTTTAGAGCAGGCCTCGTGGTGGTGGTCGTGGTGTGTACCATTAGGGACTTTACAGCATACATATTGTTGTCAGTTTGTTGAATTGGTTCTGACTCACAGTGATCCTTTATAGGGTTTCTGAGGAGTGGCTGGTGGGTTTGAACCACTGACCTTGCAGTTTTAGTCCAGTGCTGACCTTCAGCCCACACCAGGAGCCTACAACATACTAGAAAACGGCCTGATACAGGCTAAGCATTTGGTTGGACTGTCGTTGTGAGGCAGGGACAGCCGAGCTGCTGAATCCCCATCCGGGCTGGGAGCACCGCCAGGTTTCCTGCAGCAGGTGGTGGGTGAGGGAAGAGGGTGTTCAGGGTAGTAGAACCCAGAGAGTTTGGGGCCAAAGTTGTGAAACTATATAGCAACACCAGCCCCTTCTGTTGTCGGTCCTGCTCTGTTCCCAGCACTGGGCGCGCTGAAGAAAATGTAGAGTCATTCTGTTGGGAAAGACGAACACCACACACACAGATGCACAGTGCAGGCGGAGAGGGCACCTGGGGCAGTGGCAAGCCTGCCCCCGGGAGCAGGGAGGAGCCGTCTCCAGTCCCTCAGTTCCCTGGCATCTCCGTGGCTGCTCTGCTGCAGGGCCGGAGCCTCTGTTTCCCTCTGTGCCGAGAGGGTCTTGTGGCCCAGACGCTGTTCAACCAGACACTGACCCAGTGCTGGCCTGTCTTCTTGGGGATAGGACACAGATGCCACCATGTGGGTATGCTCTGTGGACAGCCAGTGCGTGCTTCTCTGCACCCCTACTCAGGGGTCCCAGAGCAGGCGAGGAACCTGAGGCCTCCTACTGTCCCCATTAGATTTCCTAATATTGCAACTTCTGGTTTCTATGGCAATCTGGAAAAACCTGCAATTGTGGCTTTTGGATGTCTAAACCAGGAGCAGTGGGTGGGACAGCATGGAAAATACCCTGTCCAGGCCAGAGAGGAGAGAGCCACAGGATAGATAATGCTTTGAGCTAGGAACGTGCTCCCAGCACACCCCTAGCAGAGTCCTCTGTGCCCCCAGCAGCCTCCTGGGGTCAGAGTGGGGCAGGGTCTTTGGCATCCTCAACCTGGAGTGCAGTGGGGGTGGGCAACAGTTGGCTCAACACTTGAGATGTCTTATTAAATCCCCTCAAACCACCTGAGGTGGCACCTGTGGAAACAGGTCTGTAGCTGTGAGCCTACGTGTCTGACTCTAGAACCCCCGTACAAGGTCCAGTTCTCTGGGGACGGGCCTGTCCCCCGTAGGAGTCTCCCTGCTTCCCCTTGAGTTTTCTTCTAAGAGTCACATTATCCCACCCGCAGCAGAGCTTGTCTTGTCCTTGTGGCAAGTTCTGGGAACTGTATCTCAGCATCCTCCTCTCACTTCCTGGAGGTCGTCACTCCGGGCCCCAGACCACTAAGGACAAGGATCTAGTTGGGACCTGTGTGGGGAGCAGCTTTTCCACCCCAGGGAGCCGGGTGATTTCGGAAACCTAATGTCAGCGAAGCCTACGGGAGGGTCCAGGTGGGAGGAAGCAGCGACAGCTGACCTCTTTCCCTCCTCTCTGAGCCACTGCTGAAGGGCGTCTGTGAGTGAGGGACAGGCGTGGACAGCCTGCACTGATCGCAGGCTCCGGGGTCTGTCATTTAGCCACACTCCCCAGCAAGCATCATGCTCGTCTTTTGGGGCTGGCCCGACTCTGGGGGAAGTGGCACACACTCAGCCCACATGTGAGACACTTGGGTAAGACCCGCGCCTCTCGCCCTGTTCACTTCTTACAGCTGAAGCTGGAGGATCGCTCAGTGGTCCCTCGAGACGTGGTCCGGCACATGCGCTCCACCGTGAGTAATGGGCCACCCCTCGATCTCTGCATGCGGGGTGCTGCTGGGGACCCCAGAAACCCTTGGGTGGTGGCGGGGGCTGCTGTGCCTGCCCCATGTGCCTGAAGCCGGCTCCCTGTCGCCCAGGACAGCCAGTGTGGGACGGTGATCGATGTGAACATCGACTGTGCGGTGAAGCTCATCGGCACCAACTGCATCATCTATCCTGTCAGCAGCAAGGATCTACAGCACATCTGGGTGAGTTGTCCCCCCCCCCCCCGGCAGGGCCTCTCTGGACACTGCTATGCAGGAGGGGGCCAGACAACTTCAAACTTGAGTGCAATGGAGGCTTTCTGGCTCCCTCATTCCAAGTCCCCAACTGTCAGCCCCTTGCTCTGTTTGTCCCATTGTCCTCCCCCCTCCGCCCAGTCTTTTCCCCTGAAACATTTGAGAGCAAACTGCAGACATGCTGCCCCATGGCCCCAACCCTCGGGCCAGGACGGCAGCACCAGTCGGTCCCCACCCAGCCAGATCTGTCCCACCCAGGACCCCACTCGGAGCACATGTTGCATTTACTGTCAATGTTACCCCACCACCACCCCAGGCAGTTCCTGAGCTCTTCCCTGTCTCCGTGCCCAGTGGGGGTGGGGGTGGGGGCACTCAGGGCGACCCCACTGCTCCCTGGTCCTGTTTGTGTCAGCCCTCTGGCTTTCTCCACTTACCTGTTTGGTAGGTTCTGAGGCTTGGAGTCCTGGGAGGAATGCAATGGTTAAGCACTCACCTGCTAATCTAAGCTCTGTGATTGAACCCAGCCTCAGGAACCCTCTCACCGGGGGCTGACAGGGGCCTGGCAGTGCCCTGGTCAAACCCACCAGCCTCCACTTCCAGTAGTAACTGCCACCTGTCCCTCCTGCCGCAGGACAAGCTGTACCATCCTTGTTTTCTTACTCACTTTTTGATGTCAGTCTGGACTCAGAGCTGCTGTTTCCTCCATCACTCCTTCACTTCTGTGTTGCTTACATGTTACACGGTCAGATTTGGCTCGTGGTAACCCTTCAGGCTGACTCCTATGTCCCTGTGCCATGCCCCTGTCATTTGGGGTACACTTTTTGGAAAATTGAGGTGTTCCTCATTCATCTTGTATCTTCTCTTTCCTTCTCTGGGTTTGACATCCAGAATCTGGGGGCTGGTGTGCTCATTCCCACAGGCCCTTTCAGGACAGTTTCGGGGAACTCTCTGTATGTCTGTGTTGTTAAGTGCCATCGAGTTGGTTCCAACTCAGAGTGATCCTATATAGAGAGTTTCTGAGGAATGGCTGGTGGATTTGAACTGCCGACCTTGTGGTTCAAAACAACATTGCATCTGCATATGTGCATCTGCATACACACAAAATGCACCCATACCTGTTCTGTACATACAGGCAAAGCCCGGGGTGTTGTGGGTTCCATTCCAGACCACCACAATGGAGTGAATAGCATGAAGCCAGTTAGATAAATGGTCAGTGATTGTGAGGGTGACCAAAGCCGTCAGAGGCGCCCAATGAGCACACACTCCTGGAGAAAACAGCACCAGTAGACTTGCTCAACCCAGGATTGCCACAAACCTTCAGTGCAAACAAAACAAAACAAAGACGCACTATCTGCAGTGTGCAGTAGAGTGAGGTATGCCTGCGTATATGCGCATACGAGGGGCTTCAAAGTTTATGGAGAAATTGAATGAAAAGATAATGCAATTTCCCCACTCACTTGTTGGCAGCCCCCTGTGTGCGCATAGGTTCCTCTGATTCTAGATTCTAGAGGATCTGCTCAGGTTCCCGCCCCCTCCCCTCCATGTGAGCAAGTACCTTCTCCAGCATGTCCTCCATGTGTCTACACCACACGCTTCTCTGCTTCCCAGTGTCCTTGGACATCTGCAATGGATGCACTGCCCCCACACGGGAGGGGATATGGGATCCAGCTGACACATCTTGAGGGCTAGGACCTGCCCCAGACAGCTGTGCTGTCTGCCCCTCTCACCGCCCTGTCCCCTTGGTCCACAGCCTTTCATGTATGGAGACTACATTGCCTACGACTGCTGGCTGGGAAAAGTCTATGATTTGAAGAACCAGATCGTCTTGAAACTGTCCAACGGTGCCAGGTAGAACCTCACACGTGGAGGAGGGTAGGGAAGGGCACTGACCATGCTGCTGTGTTTACACGCTTGTAGTGACGGCGGCGAGCACTTGGCCGTGGGGTCAGAGTGACCAGCAGCTGTGTCCTGGCTGTCCCTCCTGGGATGCCAGTCACTGTGTCCTGCTGGAGACCAAACTCTTTGCTCTTCCTTCCAGGTGCTCCATGAACACAGAAGACGGGGCCAAGCTCTATGATGTCTGTCCCCATGTCAGTGACTCGGTGAGTCGGCTCTGCCAGGACCGTACCCCTCCTACTGAGGAAGGACGTCTCAGTCACAGCTGAGCGCTGGACAGGGGAGGTGTGAGTGTAGTCACAGGGCAGTGCCACAGGGGCTTCAAAAGTTGGTGGGAGACTCCATTATCTTTTCATTCCATTTCCCACCGACTTTCTGAAGCCCCCCTCGTATGTGTGCTTTTTAACTCATTCTTTGTAAATCTCATGTTCTTTGTCTCAGTGTGGCCACAACGCTCCCTGCTACGCACTGCAGTGTCTCGTGGGTACAGCTTGTAACAAATAAATAGACTGAGGGGTTTGGGAGGGTGGGTCCCCCTAGAGCTTTCCTCTTCATAGTGGGACCCTGTGACCTTGTTAGGAACAAACTGTCAGAATCGGCATGTCATAAGCCCCTGGGTGATTGGTGTGTACACCAGGGTCTGAGGAAGGTCTTAGGGGAGGGGCCCTGGTCGTGCTGGAGGATAAGCTTTGGACTGCTGGCTGCTGCCTCACCACAGGAGAAACCTAACACCTGGTCACTGGGATGACAATGAGGTTAGGGTTAGGGAGTGTGGGGAGGCCCCTCACCTGAGGGGCATGACTCACCAGGACTCTCCGCCCACCCCAAACCCTGCAGGGCCTCTTCTTTGATGATTCCTACGGCTTCTACCCGGGCCAGGTGCTCATCGGCCCAGCCAAGATCTTCTCCAATGTCCAGTGGCTGTCCGGGGTCAAGCCCGTGCTCAGTGCCAAGAGCAAGTTCCGAGTGGTGGTGGAAGAGGTAGGCCTCAGGGTTCGGCTTTTCCCCTCTTTCTCTCCTGAGGACGCAGCCCTGCTGCTGGACCAGAACTGGCAGTGAAGAGGAGGCAGCCGGCGGCCCCGGGACAAGGAGGAGAGCGCCCTCCTGTGGCGGGTGGGGGACACTTCAGCTCTCTCTGCTTAGTCAGGGCCGGCTCCAGAGGTGGCAGTACATGTGCAGCCTCAGTGGACCACTTCCGGCCTAGCTCGCGGGTGGGCCTGCTCCACAACCCACCCCACCTTCTCTAGGTACAGGTGGTGGAACTCAAAGTCACCTGGATCACCAAGAGTTTCTGTCCAGGGGGCACGGACAGCGTCAGCCCCCCGCCCTCAGTCATCACCCAGGAGAATCTAGGCAGGTGAGCGTGGCCGCTCTGCCCACTCCAGGGACCCCACACACACTGAGGTCCAGCCAGGCCACACCCCGCTTCTCCCCTTCCCAGGGTGAAGCGTCTCGGATGCTTTGACCATGCTCAGCGGCAGCTGGGGGAGCGCTGTCTGTATGTCTTCCCAGCCAAGGTAGAGCCGGCCAAGATTGCCTGTGAATGTCCAGAAACAAACTGCGCCCAGGGGGAGGGCTCTATGGCCAAGAAGGTATGTCCTGGGGGCTGGGTGATGGTGGGCCTGCTGTCAGTCCCCTAGCAAAGACTGCCACTGCCTCCCATTGGGCAGCTCAGATGGCCCTGGGGTTTGACTGAGGTGCCTGGGGTTGGGGTCAGGCTAGCCAGCCCCTCACTCCCCCAGCTCCCCTCCCTGCTCCGTCCTCACAGGTGAAGCGCCTGTTGAAGAAGCAGGTTGTGCGGATCATGTCCTGCGCCTCTGACACCCAGTGTACCCGCGACCACTCCACTGAGGACCCGGACAAGAGTGGGGCTTTCAAGGCCAGGAGTGAGCCGGGATCCGCCAGCCCCGAGGAGATGCCTGACGGCTCCACCAGCCCAGTGGAGGTGCCAGATGAGGGTCCCGAGGAGCCCCCCGAGGCTGGCGAGCAGCTGCCCCCCTTCCTACTGAAGGAGGATGGAGATGACCGGCTGCACTCGGCCGAGCAGGACGCAGATGACGAGGCTGCCGATGACACAGATGACACTAGCTCAGTGACCTCCTCCGCCAGCTCCACCTCCTCACAGAGCGGCAGCGGCACGAGCCGCAAGAAGAGCGTCCCCCTGTCCATCAAGAATCTGAAACGGAAGCACAAGAGAAAGAAGAGCAAGACCACTCGTGACTTCAAGCCAGGAGACAGGTGGGGGCCGGGCACGAGGGGCACGAGGGGCGGTCTGCTCTAACCTGAAGGAAGCCACCTCACTGCTGGGCCCCCACCCTGCAGGGTGGCTGTGGAGGTGGTGACCACCATGACCTCGGCAGACGTGATGTGGCAGGATGGCTCAGTGGAGCGCAGCGTCCGCTCCAACGACCTCGTCCCCGTGCACCACTTGGACAACAATGAGTTCTGCCCAGGAGACTTCGTGGTGGACAAGCGAGGTAGTGCTAGCCCGCCACAGAAAGGGAGCCTGCCACAGAAAGGGAGGAGATGGCCCTTCTGATGGTGCCTGCCTTGGGAGTGGCCGGGGATTTGATGGCTTCTGTGCCCGTGGGGTTTGAGATGTGGTGGGCAGGCGTAGCCAGGGCTCCTTGGTGAGCTGTGTGCCTTCTGCCCCCAGTCCAGAGCTGCTTAGACCCTGCTGTGTATGGCGTGGTGCAATCTGGGGACCACATCGGCCGCACCTGCATGGTGAAGTGGTTCAAATTGCGGCCGAGTGGGGACGATGTGGAGGTGTGTGCACGGTCCCCCCCCACACCTGCAGGGTGGGCTGGGCGGGCTGGGGTCGGAGCCCAGGCTGACGGCCTCCCATCGTGTGTCACAGTTGATTGGGGAAGAGGAAGACGTGAGTGTGTATGACATCGCCGACCACCCTGACTTCCGCTTCCGCACTACGGACATCGTCATCCGCATTGGCAACACTGAGGACGGGACCCCTCCCAAGGAGGATGAGGTATGGTACTTGTCACCTTAAGCTCAGGTCTGGGTCCCTGCTGCCGGCCTGTGCAGAAGCTGCAGTCCCTGAGGGAGCCACCAGGTGGCTCTAGGACACAGTTTGGGCTCAGAATCCTTGAGAGGGAGATCAGTCTCTAGCCTGAAAGCAGCTTCCCACAGTGGGGTGCAGTTCAGGCTGGACATCCACAGAGGAACAGGGGCTCAGACTGCATTCACCCACAACCACCACTACCCCGGTGGTGTCTGTTAGGGAAGCTGAGTCCCTGGTTGGATGTGGTGCGTGTTATCACACCATCTTCTCATTCACCAGATTACCACCTGTCTTGTTACCTGGCATTACACAGTAATGAGAATAGTGAAAAATCGACCATTAGCAACCTCCGTCTGGGAGTCCCAAGAGCTTCGATGTGAGGCCAGAGTTAGCACTGGCTTTGATGGTGAAGGTTGTTTGTCCACTTGGCACGATTCTCAGTGGGTTGGCATTTCTGTCATGGTGCCGTTTTGTAGCTAGAGGAGGATGGAATCCGACAGCTCGGTAATGATGCCGTCACCTTCCATTTTGTGGTCTCATAGTGGTGGTTTTCTGTGTTTGCATAACACTGGTTTTCACTCCCTGACTTGGTCTTTGGAAACTCACTGTGTTAAGTGAGGTGTGGGTGTATGTGGTATACGAGAGGTTTGGGGAGGAGGGAGAGTGGGTTGGGGCAGATCCTGGTCAGAGGAGGAGCAGGAGGAAAGATGGAGTGGGGAAGGAACCCCCCTCTTGGGAAGAGCAGAGAGCTTGTGTAAAGGGGCCCATGGGTAACCGCTTCAATCCAGGAAGGCTCCTGAATGGCGGAGAATGGGTGGGACGGGGCTCTTAATTCTAGGTTGTCCCTGACCCTAGCTACTCCCAGCTTCAGGCCGATGGCTGAATCTTTCTACCTCTGTGGCCTCATCCCCCACCGCCTGGCCCGTCCCGGAGAGCCAGGCTCCTGATGGTCTTGTTTGCCCCACAGCCTTCGGTGGGCCAGGTGGCTCGCGTGGACGTAAGCAGCAAGGTGGAGGTGGTGTGGGCTGACAATTCGAAAACCATCATCCTGCCCCAGGTGAGACTCTTACCAGGACCCATAAGGTAACCAGCCGTCTGGATTTGGGTTGAGTGCACACCTATTGGGAGAGTCTCCCTTTGATATCTGAGACCTTAGGGGAAGGGCAGCCAGAGCACACAGGGCCCTCCCTGGGTCAGGAGAGTCAGGAAGCAGTCTGCCTGGATTTCCCTCTCGCTTCTTCCTCAGGGAGACGTTCTCCTCAGGGAGAGGTTCTCCCACCAGCCTCACGGGGAGAGGGAGGCCTTGTCTGGGATCGGGATGTGGCACAGACCAGCTTTCCCTGCACCCCCTTCTGTCACATGGTCTGTACTTCCAGTGACAGCGGGTCTGAACCCTTGTGGGTGGCGCTGGATTTGTTCATTTAGTCCTATTGGCAAATGCTGAGCCCAGGCAAAGGGTGACTCTGAGAGGCCAGGGACCCAGCTAGTTCTGAGAGGTTCAAGCTCCAGGGTCCAGAACTGGCAAGGAGGGAGGTGGGGGCCGCTGTCTGAGTCAGTGCTCGCTTCCCTCCCGCCCCAGCACCTGTACAACATCGAGTCTGAGATCGAGGAGTCGGACTATGACTCGGTGGAAGGCAGCAGCAGTGGAGCATCCTCAGATGAGTGGGAAGACGACAGTGACAGCTGGGAGACAGACAACGGGCTGGTGGAGGATGAGCAGCCCAAGATCGAGGAGCCCCCTGTCTCAGCCACAGCCCCAGCTGCCCCTGAGGAGGACAAGGGCGTGGTCATCAGCGAGGAGGCTGCCACAGCCGCCATCCAAGGGGCAGTGGCTATGGCCGCCCCCATGGCAGGGCTGATGGAGAAAACAGGCAAGGACGGGCCCCCAAAGAGCTTCCGGGAGCTGAAGGAGGCGATCAAGATCCTGGAGAGCTTAAAGAACATGACAGTGGAGCAGCTGCTGACGGGCTCGCCCACCTCGCCCACGGTGGAGCCCGAGAAGCCCACGCGGGAGAAGAAGTTCCTTGATGACATCAAGAAGCTTCAGGAAAACCTCAAGAAAACTCTGGACAACGTGGCGAGCGCCGAGGAGGAGAAGATGGAGGCGCTGCCCGACACAGAGCGCAAGGACGACAAGGTCGAGGCGCAGTCCCCCGTGAAGGCCGAGTGGCCCAGCGAGACCCCCGTGCTCTGCCAGCAGTGTGGTGGCAAGCCGGGCGTCACCTTTACCAGCGCCAAGGGCGAGGTCTTTTCTGTGCTGGAGTTTGCCCCCTGTGAGTGTGTGTTATGGGGGGACACTGGCCGGGACCAGTATGTAGCCAACAGCGGTGCTGGGGGCCCAGGGGGAGGGAGACGGCAGCGCTGCCTGGGACCATGCCCACGTAGCCACTAACTAGGAAATTCGCGGGGGACAGACAGATAGTAGCCGCTTGCCCAGGGCCAACTGGCCCCTCCCTCTCTCTGCTTCCAGCAAATCACTCTTTTAAGAAGATAGAGTTCCAGCCTCCAGAGGCCAAGAAGTTCTTCAGCACAGTCCGGAAGGAGATGGCACTGCTGGCTACCTCACTGCCCGATGGCATCATGGTCAAGACCTTTGAGGACAGAATGGCAAGTAGATGCCGTGGGCCACCCTTCCTACAGTGAGGGCACAGGCCCCGTCAGGGAAGGACCACACCTCTCCCCACCAGGGGGCTCTTCCCTTCTTAGTTGGTGCTATTGAGTGCCATCGAATCGGGTCCGACTCTTAGTGACCCTGTAGAGAGTTTCCAGGAAGTGGCTGGTGAGCTTGAACCACCAACGTTACAGTTTAAACTGACCCTTCAGTCCAGTGCTTACCCTACAGTGCCACACCAGGACTCTCTCCGTTTTTGAGTCCGTTTTAAGTGACGTTATTAATTTTGATCTGGAAATCCTGGCGGTTTGAGCCCACCCAGAGGCACCTTGGAAGACAACCCTGGCAGTCTGCTCCCAGTGTGGTAAAGCCCTGAAAACTCAGTGGAGCGGCTCTGCTCTCAGAATTGCCTGTGTCCACTCTGAAAAATGAGAACATGTAGTAGCATTGTCTTCCCTCGCCCCCACCGCTCCCCAGGGGTCATGACCTTTATTCTTTCATGGTCTCATGCACCATAAGCACAGAAGAGTGTTGTGTGGTTTTGTACCAGTAGCTTGCCGCTGTACACGTGTGATGTGTATGTGACGCTCCATAGGATGAGCCTAATCTAGTTCACTCCCTTTAACTGTAGAATAGTGAGCCCCCATGATCACCGGGCTTTCTGGAATGTTTCCAGAGGGGATGGGCACTTCCTAGTTGGCCCCAGAACAGGCTGCTGCTCCACTGTCCTTTCCTCATTTATTCCCCAGACTTGAGCTAGACACTCAGTGAGAGGCTGGCAGGCAGCGGCGCCAGCTTGGGCCGCCCTGGAAAGGCCGGAGAAAAGAAGGGACCAGGAGCGGCACTGGGCTCCGTGTGCTCGGGTTTTTAATCCTTCACTTGTGGAGCTCCTCAGGGTTGAGTAAAAGGCCTCTCCTTGTCCTGCTGTCCTCACATGGAGGAAAGGGGCCAGCAGGAACGCGAGTGATGGTACCCCAGCTCTGCATTCAGCTGTTGGCTGGTGCAAGCTCCCAGCCCCCCCATTGCCACCACATTGTCCACCCGGCTGGCCCCGTCCATGTGTGTTTTGTTCACTGCTGGCGCTGGTGATAACAGGCATTTGTGGAGCATTGCCCTGATGAGTAGAGTATCTCTGGTGGTTTTCCAGCATTTCCTCTTGACTTCAGATCCTCAGTTTTTTCTAGTTGTGAGGCCACTGCCTGGCCCCGAGAAGCCAGTACACTCTCACTCTTCCAGAACGTTCTCTCATCTCCTGATTTGCTGTCACTGTTGTTTCTCTAGTTGGGGTTCAGGGATAAATTATTTTTGAGGAGTAAATATGTATGTAATGATTTATGGGGAGAAAGCTGACATAAAGCCAGTGTGCTGAGTCCCCGATGGGGCTGAAAGGTGGCAGGGTGGGTCTGCTAGTCTCAGACCCGAGACAGTGCTGCCCCCGCCGAGCCACACACCATCTGAGAGAGCGTGAACTGTGCCCATATGCTGACCTGTCCCTCCCTCCCCCGAAGGACCTCTTCTCTGCCCTAATCAAGGGGCCCACTCGCACCCCCTATGAGGACGGCCTCTACCTGTTCGACATTCAGCTCCCAAACATCTACCCGGCTGTGCCCCCCCACTTTTGCTACCTCTCCCAGTGCAGTGGCCGCCTGAACCCCAACCTTTATGACAACGGAAAGGTGTGCGTCAGCCTCCTGGGCACCTGGATTGGAAAGGTGAGGGCCAGCTTGGGGGAGAGGAGGCAGTGGGTGGCAGCTGGGGACAGTATGAACATGCTGTGTGTCCTTCCAGGGAACAGAGAGGTGGACAAGCAAATCCAGCCTTCTCCAGGTGCTTATCTCCATCCAAGGTACGGGGAGGGGGGGATCTGGGCCCGTGAGAGTTGTGGGCGGGACAGGGCTACCCAGGTGGGCTTCTCCCCTGACAGGCAGCCTTCCCCTCCATCCCCGGGCAGGTCTCATCCTGGTGAACGAGCCGTACTACAACGAGGCCGGCTTTGACAGTGACCGGGGTCTGCAGGAGGGTTATGAGAACAGCCGCTGCTATAATGAGATGGCGCTGATCCGTGTGGTGCAGTCCATGACCCAGCTGGTGCGGCGGCCCCCCGAGGTCTTCGAGCAGGAGATCCGGCAGCACTTTAGCACCGGAGGCTGGCGACTGGTGAGCCGCATCGAGTCCTGGCTGGAGACGCACACACTGCTGGAGCGGGCCCAGGTGCTGCCCAACGGTGTCCCCAAGGACAGCAGCTCTCCAGAGCCACCCATGGGGGCTGAGCTCTCCGACTCCGGCCGAGAAGACCCTGAGGACGGCGGGTTGGCCCCCGACGAGACCTCTCAGGGTTCAGACTCAGAGGGTGGCGGCGCCCAGGGCCCATCATCCAGCAGGGACCGCGTGGAGCAGACTTCGGAGACTGCGCTGGACACAGCCGGGCCTCCCAGTGTCAGACCAAAGAAGCGGAGGAAGAGCTACCGGAGCTTCCTGCCGGAGAAAAGCGGCTACCCTGACCTTGGCTTCCCCCTCTTCCCGCTCTCCAAGGGTTTCATCAAGAGCATCCGGGGTGTTCTGACACAGTTCCGGGCAGCCCTGATAGAGGCGGGCATGTCTGAGAGCACAGAGAACAAATAGCTGTCAGCCTCAAGGACTGAGTCACTCGGTGGGGAGAGGCCAGCTGCTGCCTGGGCCCCCCTTCTGGAGCCTCCTCTGCCCATTCCCCTTCCCCAATGCTAGCCTGATGCTGAACTGCAAGAAATTTCTTGAGATGCTGCAGTTTCGATTCCGAAGCAATCTTTGAACAGGCAGGTCTCCGTGTCAAAGGAAGTTTGAACCCTGTGCTGCACCTCAGCCAAATTGCCCCTCTCTGGTCAAAGGTTGGGGGCCCCAGGGCCTGCCGCTGGCTCTGGACCCAGCGATGCAGGACAAGTGGATGTGTCTTGCATGAAGTGTTGGCTGTTCCAATCCCCCCCCCAATAGAACCAACCTCCCCCTTCAACTCAACTGTAGCTTCCCCCGGTTCTCTGCCCCTGGTCCCCAACATCGACGCTGTCCCCTGGGAGTCATAGCAGCTGCCCTTGGCTCTCTGCTGACTCTGGCCTGTTTGGATGTGCTCTCAGAATCTGGGCAGGCTTGGTTCAGGAGGTCCCCAGGACGTTGGGTGGGGGGCCTGGGAGCTGCTGGGAGAGACTGCAAGTAGGTGCCTTGCTCTTCCCGCCCTCCTGCCCACTCTCGGGAACTGGGCAGTGCTGGCTCAACCGCATCTCAGGGCCTGGGGGGCGGGGGGCGGCCAGACAGGAGCAGCAGCGCTGAGCCAGGGTGAGTGCTAGGGCCCAGGACTCTGCTCCTCTGCTCTCTGATGGTGCCCAGGGGAGGTGCTCACAGAACACAGAGCCACCTTTCCCCCCGAGTGGGAGGGAGGCATCCTCTCAGCCCTTGGCTTCCAAATTCTGCCAACTCCACCCGGAGAGAGGTGGCCAGTGGAGACCAGGCGAGCTTGACAAGTTTTCTAAGCTTTGAGTAACCTGAAGCTCCAGGTTCGGAGATTGCTGTCAAGCACGGTGCAGCTGTGTCATTTTGGGGTCTGTAATATTTAAAGTGGAAAGACAAAATCTCAAGAACAAAAATGTATCTGTTAGGGAAAAAAAGACACAAAAAGCCAAAGCATGCTGCGTCTCGTTGGCCTTAAACTGGCCCCACACCTGCGCTGTACCGCCCTGGCCGGGGGGCCCAGGCACTCGAAACCCAGTCGGGAGCTGGCTGGAGAAGCCCCGGGAGTGAGAGATGGGAGGGCCTGTGCTTCTGAGAGTGTCGTTGCGTGGAGATCTGAATGCCTCCTGCTTACAGTCTCTGTATAAAGTACAAAGTGCGGTGTGATGAACTTTTTTTTACCTGCATTTTTTTTGTTTGTTTGTTTGGCTTTCATTACAAATGTACAAACAAGACAGTGATACCATTAAACCTGCCTCTGCCATTCGCCTGGGCTGCGTGGCCTACCTTCTTCTCAAGGCCTCTGTGCTAAGCTTCCCTCAGACCCCGTGGCCGGGGAAGATGTGTGGCGGGGGAGCACAGTTTCCCTAGCCGGGCTGTGGGGTAAGGGTCCTTGCAGACATCTTCCTTGTCTGATCTGCTTCAAGGCCGTCTGCATTTCTAGTCCCAGGATCTAGGGCTAGGAGAGCACCCCCTCCACCTCTGAGGCAGGTTTGCCCTCAAAGAGGCGAACCTTAACTGTGGCTGCCACCCAGCAGCTGTAGTCACTGTGGGACTAGAATTGACAAGTCAAGCCTGTTCTGCCCCTTCCAGCTGCCTGCCGGAGTGCAGCCAGCCTAGCATCTAGCAGATACTGTGCCCTGGGCTTTAGGCCAAAACAGTTGCCCTGGTTGGGAGCCTAGCATCTGCCCTCCCTGCTTCCTGTCATCTGCCTTTTCACTCGGAGCCTGTGTTCCCTTTCCTGCTAAGTTAGTATCCACACAAGCTGGCAAGACGCAGGTGGCACCGAGCCTCAGTTTCCCCATTTATAGAGTGAGGCGATGGATCAAGCACAACAGCTTCCGCTAGACCTGAGGGGAGATGGGGCCAACACCACTGGAAGTGGTTAACCATCATTCTCCAGCCCTCAGGACAGGATGAACTTTATTGGATTTGACTCATTGTATGAGGCTTGCTGGACAAGATGGAAGAGCTTCTACCACAGCTGGACCCAGCCAGCTGGACTCCAGGCCCAGGCTCATTGGGCCTTGGTGGGCAGTCTGCCTTTCCATGGCAGTCTTCACCACCCTCCAAGGGTCCCTCTTTCTCCTTCTCATGTGAACTGAGGCAGGTCCTCCAATTTGGGAGGCGGGTGGAGGGGACAGGGAGGTCAGGCCCTAGTCAACTGCAGAGTGGGCTTGCAGTTCACAAAGGCCTAGCACAGCCTGCCAAGTCACAAGGACTCCTGTGGTTCTGGCGGCGGTGGAGGCTGCTGGCTGGGCAAGGTCTCCGAGCAGCCGCTGACCAACCTGCAATAGTCTGGGTGCACCTGGCCCTGCACTGCCTCGCTGGCCATCAGCTCCCCGTCCACAGTAAAAACGCCACCCCCGTCCTTGGGCTCCAGGCGGAAGGCCACCACGGGCATGTACACCAGGTAGGGACAGTTGTAATCCATGTGCCTGCCCTTTTCCATGGCTAGGAAGAGCCGCAGCAGCGTGGCCCGGGACACACCAGCCCGCATGTAGAACAGGTGCATGACTCCAGCCTCGCAGCGGTTCATGGGGGCCGCGAACATGTCACTGCCCAGGTGGGAGTGCAGCAGTACCAACACCAGGATGAAGTCCTGCTCAGGCACCACCGTCCAGTTGGTGGGCACCGGCTGGTCCAGCGGCACCAGGAGTGAGTTCACGGGGCCCCTGTGGTCCAGAGGAGGGGAGGTGGACATCCTAGAGATGGCCCCTCCGGCTGGTAGGTAGGCCAGCCGGCCCTGGTAGGTGCGCAGGGAGGCCAGACGCAGGAAGGTACCTAGGGTGAAGCGTATCTCGCCTAGGAGTCGATACTTCTCGCTCTCCAGGTCCACGTCTGCGATGAAACCCCAGGCCAGGCTGAGCACAGAGAAGAGGCGCAGCCCCGAGGCTGTGTGCAGAGACAGCAGGTTCATGGGTACCAGCAGCCGGCGGCACAACAGGAGTGTGCAGTTCGTCAAGAGCTCCTCGTTAGTCACCTGCTGATACCTGCAAGGTAGATGGAGCACAGATGTTTCCTTTCTCATCCTCATCCTAGAGAGCCATCGCAGGCAACGCAATGCTTGGTCTCTGGGCTGCTGGTAAGAACAGAGACAGGTGGAGCCACCAGGGGGCTCTCAGAGAAGGGACTGGAACTCCCTAGGTGGCACCAACTGTGAAATGCTCTGCCACTAACTAAAGCCTGCTACTTCCAACCTGCCCCCCACCCCCAGAAGTGCCTTGGAAGAAACGCCTGGCAATCTGCTTCCAAAATCTCAGCCTTATGGCGGCACCTAATTCTACTCTGAGCCTCAGAGATCATCAACTCCAAGGCACCGGGTTTGGTTTGAAAAGAACTGTAAGACAAGCGGGTAGAGTGGCACACAGGACACCAAGGCCACTCTGGTCTGGGACACTCACCCTGAATAATGGTTCACTGAGGCAGCTATCGCATTGGCAGAGCCAGCAGGGAGGCTACACAGGGGTTTCCGGATGGCCGTCTCCCAGTCAGGCCTTTCCATGAGTCCATTCACCACCTGTGGGAGCAGGGTGCCTCAGGGGAGACTCACACCCCTCCCCACACACACCCAGGGCCCCACTCAGCTGCCTTACCTCGTGCATCAGCCCGTCCCCAGACATGACCACCAGCACGTCCCAGCGGCCCAGCTCCTCCACACGCACTAGCTCCCGAGCATGGTTTCGGTGTTCTGCCGGGAGGCTCTGCTGTCAGGTCTGAGCAGGGTCCTTCCTGCACCCCAGCCCGCTCGCTCTGGGGACAATACATGGCACTCACCAGTGAGCATCAGCGTAAAGGACACATCAGCCTGGGTCAGCAGGGGCTGTACATGGCTCCTGAACAGCTGCAGTGCTTTGCCCTTGCCGCCTCTCGGGTTCAGCAGCACCAGCACACGGCAGGGATTTGGGATCCGGCCCAGGGGAGACGGAGGGCTCTCAGCTGTGCAAACAAACCACAGAGACCAGAGGCCATGTCCCCATCTGGCCAGTAGGGGGCCCAGTAGGGGGCTGAGGATGGCAGCAGGGGCTCTGCCTGCAACACCCGGGTAAAGGAACCAGCTGTGAGTCTGGCTAAGAAAACAGGGGCCCATGGAGAGGGTGGAGCCCGCGCCCGCGGGCCGGCGAACACAGCAGCAAGAGGCCGGCTAGCCCTGTCCCTGCTCGGCTCTAGGCCCGCCGCTTCGCTGCTGCCTGGTAGAAATTGTTTCTCCAAGAGTCTCCCCAGACCTATTCCCTCCTCCAACTAGCCCCAGGCCACCCTTAGAGGCGAGGGGAAGAAGTGAGAGGGCTCCCGCCCACAGTTCTTCCCTAGCCCCCACCAACCTGGGTCCATAACCTCGACCCACGCCTTCCTCTGCCAGGGGGTCCCCAGCGCTGTCGGGGCGCTGTCGTTGGCAGCAGCTCCTGCTTTCAGCTCCTTATCGGTGCAGCCCAGGCGGGCGTCTCGGGACTGGTTATAGGGCTCGCCCTCCCCGCCCCGGGCCGAGGCTGTCGGGGCGCCCGCGTCATTCCCTGCGGCTGCCAAATCTAAGGAAGAAGAGGAGACGGCGCTGGTGGAGGCCGGGGCCGCGACTCCCCGAGGTGGGGATAACCGCTGACCCAGTTTTCAGAGGGATCCTGAGAGCCAAGAGCCAACGGCACCAACAGTGCCCCGGTCCAGAGACCCAGCCCCCATCCTCTGAAGCGGAGGGTCTCTTCCTGGAGACTTTCCTTTCTCGGGCCCCGGGTTCACGCCCAACGGATGAGTCAGGGTCCGGTGGTTCCATCCCTCGACCCAGCTGCTCACCCCGCGGGGCTGCCAGGGGCAAGGGGGCCCAGTTGCGTAAAAATCCCAGAACTTGCGCGGACATCGCGAGGCACCGAGTTCGCGTGAGCAATCCCACCCCGATTCAACTCGGACCCCGCCCGGAGCGTCTGAACCACCGGGACGGCCCGCATGCCTCCAGGCGCCCCGCTCCGCCTGGCCACGCGCTGCACTGGGGGAAATAGCGCCCGAATCGCGTGAGCGCCAGGCCCGGGCCGCACGCCTGCCGCCTGCTCTCGCCGAACGTCGACTGATGTGAAGGGGGCGCGGCACGCGGCCCAGTTCCCGGGGATCTGCGGGGGCGGCCTCCCGGGAGCTGCGAGTGGCGGAGGCAGGAGTCGCGACCCAACCGGTCCGACTGGCCGTTCCCTCTGTTGGCCTGAGTTGGAACGAACCTCGTTCCGGCTCAGCCCCGCGTCTAAGGCACCACCGGAGCCCCGAGCTGGCTCAGACTCTGGCCTTTCTCCCTCCGGCTTTGAACTTTTCGCTCAACTTGGCCGCCAAGCGTCGGCGGAGGAGGGCGCGGTGGCTGCGCGCCGGCCTGGCCACGCCCCCGCGCTCCCAGGGGCGGACCTGACTGCAATGCCCGCCCAGCTCCGCCTTCGGGCCGGGCCAAGCTCTGGGGCTCTCAGGATCCCAGCATGCAGCCGCTAGCCCACCGCTCGGACTAAGCGGCTGGGAGTGGCGCGCAGCAAATTCAATGTCTGGGGTGAGGGATGAGCGCACAGCACAGACCAGGCTAGGGGCGCCCCTGGGCTACACCTAGCCTCGCGCCGCTAGATGCGGCGCCCCTCCCCGGCCCGGGGCTGCATACCGGTCAACCACCGGGACCCCTCCGCGCCCGCCCCCGCCTCGCTTTACAGCGGAGCGCTATTTTTATTTCGCTGGCGCTGCAGCTCTACCGTCTAGTCACCGAACTGGGGGCAGCCAGGCTCTCATCCCGGACGCAGCCTGGCAGAAGGGGCTTGTCAGGGCCCTCAGAAATTGAATAATTTCCCCAACGGGCACCCTCGAGGTCCCCTGGGTCAGAGAAGCTGCCACGCAGCGGGCGACCCAGGAAGAGGAACCTGCTGGTGTGGACAGGCCCTGGAGGGGGGTCGGGATCGGGAATGGCCAGTATGGACTAAACAGCAAAGTTTGTGGGACGGGTCTCCCCACCGCCCCTAGGGGAGATGTAAACGCGGCCCGGAGGTGCTCTCTAGTGGAGGGTGGGGTGGGGTGGGGTGGGGTGTGTGTGTGATGTGTCCACGACCATCTCTGGAGTGAAACCCTTGGTGGTCGATTTGCAGAGACGGAAGGAGAAAGTTGCCAAGGCCAATTAGGTGACCGGAGCAGGTAGGGCCAATGTTAGAAGCACCAACCCCTGCAGAGGGCAGAAGTGGCAGTGGCTCGGGCCCGGCCGGACTGCCCCCCACCCACAACACACACCTCTCTCCTCCGCACCCCTCCACCAAGTCGAGAAGAGGCAGGTCCGAGAGGAGCGCGGAGCTGGTTAGCAGAGCGTCTGCCTAATCCCGGCACGCCTCCGCAGTATCTTCTCAACGGAGGACCCAGGCAACCCGACCTCATTTCTCAACATTTGGGAGCGGAGTAGGGTCCCGGGTTCCCGAGTCTAGGGCGCACGTTGGGCATAGCCAATCCCGGCCGGCTACTCCGTGCGCGTCCCAGCGGTGCGCGCCTCCGCCCTGCGCGGTCCCCCGGCTGGGTCTGGAGCGTCCCGGGCGCATTCCGGGAAGGTGACTCAGCGACACGCTCAAGGGTCCAAAAACTCAAGGAAGCAAAGACTGAGGGGAGGGAACGGGGGCCCCATCACCCCTCCCAGCGCCGCAGCCCACGCTGGCCCGCCCAGGTCAGGTTCCGCACCCCTGGCCCCCAGTTCCCCAGGAATCCGATGGGGGCGGAGGAGGGCAACGCTGCCGCCGCAGTACCGCGGTCACGAGATACGGGCCGCGGCGGAGGGAGGGGGCTCCGCGCGAGAGTCGGGGGCTGGATCCCAGCTCGGTCCCTCCCGTCCCTTTCCTTTCCCAGATGCAGGAGCGGAGTAGTCGAGGTCACAGCTTTAGCGCCTAGAATGCAGGGTAGGGGAGAGTTCTCAGCTGGGGGTGGGGGTGCAGGGAGAGCTGACACCGGCCTGGGTGACCTCGTCTCCTTTGCCACCACTCAAGGACACTTCTGCCCTGCGCGGCTTGAAGTGCCACCGTTTCCCACAAAGAATTCATGGGTGTTCTTTGCCGGAGGATCTCATCCATTTAGGGCATTTCGGTCAGGCCTGAAATCCTTGGGGCTTTTTAAAGGGAAACTGAGTCGTGGAGAAGGGAAGCCTGCCTGTGCGGGAGTCCTTGGTGAGAAAGTTCACAGGATCTCGGGTATCGTTTCTTCCCTTGTAACCCTCCAGGCAAGGCGGGGTTGGCCACAGGAGGGGAGGCGGGTGCAGCCTGAGTGTGGGGGGCAAGGGGGGAGCTTATGGAAGGGAGGGTGAGTTCTCTGGCCCTGGTTCCGTTCACACAATGGATTCTCTGTCTTCTCCTTGCCTCGCCTCTTGCCCCCTCACCTCCACTGCGCCTCTGTCCTGCCCCCCCCCCTCATTCCTGCGGTCCAACACCCCCTCCCCTGCCCTCCACTGCATCTCTCAGGGTCAGAGAGTCTTCCATTCCGCCTTCTTTCTAAAGTGTATTCTCTGATCTCCAGAAACTGATTCCTCATCAGCACCCCTGGCCCAAGAGACAGGATTGGGCAAAATGCTTCTCCCGGGTTGACAGTTTGGGGAACCGAAACCCCCAGAGGTGAAAAGTCTTGCTCAAGCAGTTTGCGACAGACAAGGAGTTCTGACCCCAGACTGGGAAGCCCCCCAACTCTCTTGAGTCCTGCCAGACAGCTCCAGGGCCCAGATGTCTCCCTGAGTTTCGGTTGATATTGGCCTGATGTGATGAGTTCCTGAGGTTTCAACCAGGAAGTGGAGGCCGATGGATTCCTCATTGCCAAGTCTCACTCTCCAGGCCCCAATTCAGTAAGCAGCCACTGTGCCCAGTGAGATTCACTGTAGGCCTGGGCAGCTGACTTGAGCCAACCTCAGCCTCCTCCAGGGAGACACACCTGAGGGTCCTTTTCATTCATTCACCAAGCGTCAAGGCTGCCAGGTGGCAAGTCTTGCTTTTATTAGATTTCTGCCATCTCACCCTTCCTGGAGCTCTGGTAGCGTAGTGGCTGTGACTCAGGCTGCTAACTTTAAGCTCAGCAGTTCGAAATTACCAGCCTTTCCTTGGGAGAAAGATGAAGCTTTCTGCTCTCGAAACCCTATACAGGGCGGCTATTAATCTGAACTGACTCCACCACTCCACCACCCTCCCCTGAAGCTGTCTTCCCTGGAAGACTTTAGCTTCCAAATTGCAGAGCCTCTAGAGTCTCCCCGCCTCCTGTGAAGTCCTGGGGTGGTACTGCACTGCACTGCACTGCATGATAATGCACTGGACCATACGGTCAACTGGAACCACAAGGTCGGTGGTTCAAGCCCACCAGCTGCTTCTAGGAAACCCTAGACAGAGTCGCTATGGGTTGGAAACGACTGCACTTAGACTGCAGTAGGCCGCCTCCTGTGACCTCAAGTGCTGATCCTTTTTCTGGTCCTTTGCTGCCTGGAGGAGGTAGGGACAGGGACGGTGAGGTGCTCAGCCCAGATGTGGCTTTCGACTCCGATTTTCTTCAATGCGGTTTCGAGGATGACCATGCCAGGTACTGGGGTGTGTACCACCCCAACAGTGACCTGGTTCCCAGACACATGCCACCTGTGAGGAGCTTTAAATACAGACTGGTCACACAGGATTCTTGGCTGCTCACCAGAAGTGTTTGACGATGAATATTTCACACAAGTTTTTGTTTTTCGGCAGTGGTTCAGCTGTTGTGGTTTGGTGATCCTATTTGGGAGGCCTCCAGCTGACCTCCCAGGTGTCCTTGCTGAAGCTAGGGACCCAGGTGTCCCTCAGGGCCTCTGGCCTCTGCTGCCTACACCAGTACCTCCAACCTACATTTCAGAGTAATTCGCTTCCAAAAGTTTTCTCAGTGTGAGGACCAAACCGTTTTAGACATACTCCATATCTCCAGCTGCCTGCCGACATCCAAAGGCCTTGGAGTTTGCAATCCCTGGTGAAGGCCTCTTCGCCCATTCCACTGGGAAGATGTGAGTTTCACGTCTCTCCAGTCTGTAGCGTCTCCCACCTCCTGGCTGGAGAGCTCTCAGCCAGACTTTCTCAGGACCAGGGGCTTGGACAGCGGTACCTGTCCCAACCCAGGGCCTATAGACTTTCACTTCACCTGGAGATTCCCCTCTGAAGGTTTGCTTGACCCTCTGTGGACATGCGCTTTTTCAAGCATAAGTGAGTCTTGGAGGGGCAGCAGTCCTTTACTAAGATCATATTGTTGCCAGCCTGTGAGCTGAGTCGGATCCCTGATCGCCCCACATGCACAGAGTCGAACTGCTCTATAGGATTTTCAAAGCTGTGCTCTTTCAGAAGAAGGCCTATCTTCCAAGGCACCACCTCTGGGTGGGCTTGAACCGTCAACCTTTCATCTAGTAGTCAATAACTTACTAACTGTATGTGCCACCCAGGAATTCTGTTAGGCCCTTGGTAGTGATGGTGGTGGTGGTGGTGTGCCATCGAAGCAGTTCTGATTCATAGTATATCTTTATGGGAGCAGAAAGCCTCATCTTTCTCCCACGGAGCAGCTGGTGGATTTGAACTGCTGCCCTTTCGGTGTACAACCCAGCTCAAAATCCACTAGGCTACCAGGCCCTTAGTGTGCATTCATATTTTTTTCCCAAAGGTGTATCAAATACTAGTTTATTTCTTATATATTAGTCCATGTAGTTGTTTCTGGTTGTTGGGAAGTTTTCTGTCACGTGTTGGTTCAGGGCCCATCCATTTTCATCTTGAGTCACAACTCTCTGCTCTCAGCTCTCAATTCTTTATGTTCAGCAGTAAGGAGCAAAGAGACAAGACACGATCACATCTGAAACCTTTGGCCTGCTAGATATCACTTCTACTCACCTTG